GGAATATTTATTGTATTTTTCGATCTTTGTATGTTTCTTTTGTGTACAGTTCAGGCTTATAAGTAGCATTCTTTTGTTTTGTTTTACTTCAATTGTTTTAAATGCTCATTTGTTTTGATAATAGACAACACTCATTTCCATTCGTTGATTTATCACTATAACTAAACGTTGCATGTTATGATTTTCTTATATTTCGAATCATAAAACTAGTGATTTGGCGGAAAATCGCAATGTCGCTCGAATAACCATTATTTATAAGAAATTTTCCTTCAATAAATATATCCCAAAGCGTTAGATGTGTGTATATTGTGCATTTAATTAATTATAAAATAATTATATTTTAGCTATACGCCCGACTACTTTAATTATATTGCGATTTATTAAATATATTTTTTTTTAATAACGGAAATAATAAAATCAAAAAATTTTATAACAAATTTTTATTCAGTTGGCATAATTTTTTGATATCATTATTTTTCTAGGAAATTAAAACAACTACTTTGTATAACAGTTTTTTTAGTTAAAATGTTTTTATTTAAATAATAATAAAAGAAATAAATTTTATAGCATAAGTTTTTATTCATTTGGCGCAATTTTTTGATCATATATATATACCCAGATAGCCAAGTTTGCCAAATCACGTATTGCAAATTATGCATTACATATTATATCGGTAGAACTCCGGCAACAGCCGTGCATAATTTGCTGTTTCAGTTAGTGCCGGCAGAAATGCAGCAGAAAACAATAAAGCAATCTCTGCATCATTATATGCTACAAAAAATGCTACAAAATTTAAGCAGAAGTTTTTGGCATAAAAATAGTAGATTTAAAGCATTGCATGTTGGCACAATATATGTGAAGAGAAGCTAAATAAAAACTGAACATAACATGACACATCACGCTATATCGGCAGAATATCGTTAGAAATCGAGTTCATCTGCAAGCACGGCGTAATGGCAGAAATGCTGCAAAAATTAAGTATGTGCTGTCATTTCAAAAGGTAACAGCAACAACACAGCAGAAACACATGCAGCATGGTCTGTTGTCATAAAATAATAGCAGAATCATAGTAATCTTATGATATGTTATATCAAGTTATAGTTCTTTCGGTTACCACTATATGAGGTATCTATCTCGTATTCAAGTTACAGGCAAATATAAAGATTATAAAGCGCGGCTATAACAAGATTAAAAATATGTAATGGCTCCTACATACAGGACGCGGCGACGCGGCAAGCGTTGCTGCATCCTGTGTCCTGTATGCAGGAACCATAATATTTATTTTTATCAATTTAATTTCTGAATTCTAACAGACTAAAAATATTTAACTAAAAGTTTGGAAACCAAATAAATTAATACAAAATTGTCCATTTACTGACTGCTTGAAACAAAATAAGAATTCAATTTTTATACAAATATCTAGCAGATATCTAATACATATCATTTTTCTGTGTGGGATGCTAAATATTATATTTATGACTGGACAATTTTTCGTCGTCACATTGTGACAGCAGCCTATGCTTGATTTCTGCCGCATTTCTGCCGTCAGATCTGATATGACAGACTTCGCTCGATATTTTGCTACATATCTGCTGTCATCACGTAATAGCAAATAATACTCGATTTTTGCTCCATTTTCTCTGCTAGATTATATCGGCAAGCCGTGCTGCCAGAAACGCTTAATGACCCAGATAGCAAAATACTAGCAGCATAGCAGACGTTTGGCAAAATCTGTTCGAACAGACTTGGCTATCTGGGCTGTTGGCATACTGCTAGCATTTTGCTATCTGGATATATACAGGGTGTCCGGTAAAGATTGTGCCAACGCTCGTTAGTAAAGTGGTCACACACAATCAGCGCCGACTTTTAGCCGGACGCACGTCGGTATCGGTGAACCGCCCGCCTGGTAGTGTGCACCGCCGTCGTAAGCGACGGAGCGCTCACGTACACTACCAGGCACGCGGCTAAAGATCGGCGTTGATTGGCAGACTTTACTCAATAATAACTCCTTTATTAAGCGTTATAGAAAAAAATATTACAGGACTTTTCTGTTCAGTTTACTGTGCTCTACCCACTCACGAGCGTTGGCACAATCTTTACCGGACACCCTATATACAGAATGTCTGATAATAATCACCCCATCTGTAATGTGCAGATAGAGCGGGTTAAACCGAGTAGAAAAGTTCTGTATCGTTTTGCGATTTTCGCAATAACTATTAAGAAATTAATTAAAAAAGATCGGTCAATGCGCGCGAGTATTAGCGCGCTGCGAGAAAGGACGCCACAAAGCGAAGGAGAAGCGAGAGGAGCGGATAACAATGTTTACATACGAGCGTCGCGAAACACTGAATCCTCATATAAAAAAATAGGAAATATTATTCGTGGCGCGACTCAACTACGATGTCGCGTGGGCTGTCCGTTCTCGCAGCGCGCTAATACTCGCGAGCATTAGCCGATCTTTTTTAATTAATTTCTCAATAATTATTGCGAAAATCGCAAAACGGTAGAGGACTTTTCTACTCGGTTTATCCCGCTCTACCTCCATATTATGGATGGGGCGATTATTATCAGACATCCTGTATATACGTGTATGCGTGTGTATTATTTTTCATGCAATTTTTTTCATATTACAAAAGGATCGGGTGCACTATAAAATATCGGTAGAAGAAAAAGGTAACAGCAAAAGGTGAAGATGCTTTTGTTTATTATTAACCTTATGTAATATCGTTTCAAATTTTCAATTACATTATTATATGTATAATAATAATTATAATAATCATCATAATAATGTTATGACAATGTATACACGTTAGATACAAGTTCATTTTCCTTCATCCGGTATAGAGTTTTTGTTAATTATTTTTTCTTCATTTTAATAAATCGGTTTTTTGTTTCCTCCTCTCTTTCTCTCTCTCTTTCTCACACACACACATACAAACATACATATGCATCCACATATACATATTTTTCCCTCGCTCTCTGCGTTCATTTCTTATATTCTTTTTTTTTGTCCCGATTATGGTGCATACCATTGCGCCAAACGAGACATCATCAAGACATCACATTACCTCTCTCATACTTAATTCTCAAAGGACGCTCGCACATCGCCTCTCAGGCGCATCAGTCATATTATAGTTATATTTGTTTCTGAACACAATGCTTTTACACATGACGTTAGGAAACTTAAGTTACTTTACTTCCCCGCCGTGGCGACATGTTCCAATGATCCCGGAATTAAAATTCGCGAGCATGAGCTTTACAAACAGACTTTTACAAAGCCGCTCGTACATACACACACATTCATACATACATACATACATATACATATATATATATCGCATTAGATATATTATAAATATGAAATTTTACATTAAAACATGAAATTGTCGAAAAAACAAAATAATGCATACAGAAAAAAGATTTAGGTGTAGACACCGATAGACACCGATTCGTGATAATTAACAAATATGTTACGTAGCACGATCGGAAATTAAGAAGCGAACCAGTCTATTGCCCAATTTATTCGTTGTAATTGTAAAAAATTATTTAATATACTAGCTGTGTGTAAAAATGTGGTTCACAATCGGCTGTTGTACCGCAATTTCGAACGCATCTTGTACATGAATAGAGAAGATAAGAAAAATAAATTTGTATATATTATTTGATAAAAACACAGGACCATGTATAACGTGTGTGTGTGTGTGTGTAGGGTGTCCCAGACCTATCACATCACCAACTAATAACAGATTCTTGAGATTATTTAAAGATGATTTTTCCTCAGCGAAAATGTCGAGAGAAGTCATCATTTTTTGCAAGTTTCCAATTTTTTCCGTCATATATTTCTGTAACTAAGCCTTAAATTGAAATTCTCTCTCTCTCTCTCTTTCTCTCTCTTTATTAAAGTAAACTCTATCTAAAATTAACTAAAAAATGTAGTTTTAACTCTCTATAAAGTTTAGTTTGCAAAAAGCTCTTCTTTTTTAGTCGCTTATAACACGAAAATTATTGATGCCTTGACATTTTTGCTGAGGAAAAATTATCTTAAAATAATGTCACGAATCTGCTATTAGCAGGTGGTGCGGTAGCTCTGGGCCACCCTATATATATATATATTCAGCACGTTTTGTAACATTTCTGCTGACATTCTGCTATTATTATTTGATATAACAGACTTTGTATACAATCTGGAATCTTTCTGCTGACAAAAATTTGTAGCAGACGTTTGGCAAAATCTGTTCGAACAGACTTGGCTATCTGGGCTGTTGGCATACTGCTAGCATTTTGCTATCTGGATATATACAGGGTGTCCGGTAAAGATTGTGCCAACGCTCGTTAGTAAAGTGGTCACACACAATCAGCGCCGACTTTTAGCCGGACGCACGTCGGTATCGGTGAACCGCCCGCCTGGTAGTGTGCACCGCCGTCGTAAGCGACGGAGCGCTCACGTACACTACCAGGCACGCGGCTAAAGATCGGCGTTGATTGGCAGACTTTACTCAATAATAACTCCTTTATTAAGCGTTATAGAAAAAAATATTACAGGACTTTTCTGTTCAGTTTACTGTGCTCTACCCACTCACGAGCGTTGGCACAATCTTTACCGGACACCCTATATACAGAATGTCTGATAATAATCACCCCATCTGTAATGTGCAGATAGAGCGGGTTAAACCGAGTAGAAAAGTTCTGTATCGTTTTGCGATTTTCGCAATAACTATTAAGAAATTAATTAAAAAAGATCGGTCAATGCGCGCGAGTATTAGCCGATCTTTTTTAATTAATTTCTCAATAATTATTGCGAAAATCGCAAAACGGTAGAGGACTTTTCTACTCGGTTTATCCCGCTCTACCTCCATATTATGGATGGGGCGATTATTATCAGACATCCTGTATATACGTGTATGCGTGTGTATTATTTTTCATGCAATTTTTTTCATATTACAAAAGGATCGGGTGCACTATAAAATATCGGTAGAAGAAAAAGGTAACAGCAAAAGGTGAAGATGCTTTTGTTTATTATTAACCTTATGTAATATCGTTTCAAATTTTCAATTACATTATTATATGTATAATAATAATTATAATAATCATCATAATAATGTTATGACAATGTATACACGTTAGATACAAGTTCATTTTCCTTCATCCGGTATAGAGTTTTTGTTAATTATTTTTTCTTCATTTTAATAAATCGGTTTTTTGTTTCCTCCTCTCTTTCTCTCTCTCTTTCTCACACACACACATACAAACATACATATGCATCCACATATACATATTTTTCCCTCGCTCTCTGCGTTCATTTCTTATATTCTTTTTTTTTGTCCCGATTATGGTGCATACCATTGCGCCAAACGAGACATCATCAAGACATCACATTACCTCTCTCATACTTAATTCTCAAAGGACGCTCGCACATCGCCTCTCAGGCGCATCAGTCATATTATAGTTATATTTGTTTCTGAACACAATGCTTTTACACATGACGTTAGGAAACTTAAGTTACTTTACTTCCCCGCCGTGGCGACATGTTCCAATGATCCCGGAATTAAAATTCGCGAGCATGAGCTTTACAAACAGACTTTTACAAAGCCGCTCGTACATACACACACATTCATACATACATACATACATATACATATATATATATCGCATTAGATATATTATAAATATGAAATTTTACATTAAAACATGAAATTGTCGAAAAAACAAAATAATGCATACAGAAAAAAGATTTAGGTGTAGACACCGATAGACACCGATTCGTGATAATTAACAAATATGTTACGTAGCACGATCGGAAATTAAGAAGCGAACCAGTCTATTGCCCAATTTATTCGTTGTAATTGTAAAAAATTATTTAATATACTAGCTGTGTGTAAAAATGTGGTTCACAATCGGCTGTTGTACCGCAATTTCGAACGCATCTTGTACATGAATAGAGAAGATAAGAAAAATAAATTTGTATATATTATTTGATAAAAACACAGGACCATGTATAACGTGTGTGTGTGTGTGTGTAGGGTGTCCCAGACCTATCACATCACCAACTAATAACAGATTCTTGAGATTATTTAAAGATGATTTTTCCTCAGCGAAAATGTCGAGAGAAGTCATCATTTTTTGCAAGTTTCCAATTTTTTCCGTCATATATTTCTGTAACTAAGCCTTAAATTGAAATTCTCTCTCTCTCTCTCTTTCTCTCTCTTTATTAAAGTAAACTCTATCTAAAATTAACTAAAAAATGTAGTTTTAACTCTCTATAAAGTTTAGTTTGCAAAAAGCTCTTCTTTTTTAGTCGCTTATAACACGAAAATTATTGATGCCTTGACATTTTTGCTGAGGAAAAATTATCTTAAAATAATGTCACGAATCTGCTATTAGCAGGTGGTGCGGTAGCTCTGGGCCACCCTATATATATATATATATATATATATATATATAAGAAATGGATTTTTATATTTATAATTATAATCGACGAACGCAAAGAGAAATGTATAAGGAAAATGAGATTTGAAAAAGTTACATCGGGCAGCAGATGGTAAAGAAAATCCGTCAAAAAATTTCATGACAAATATTAAAAAATTATGCAAACAATCAACACATAGCATATGCAAAAATATGTATCGCATACACATGTCTGGACTATATATATAAGATACATATAATTAAAACATATTATATACCATTAAAAACATGATATCTACCGTTTCTTTCTTTCGTTATCATTCTGATCTTAACGGTTTCTTCCACGTACAAAAAAAATTATATATGTGTATGTATGTGTATACTTGAAATGCAGCGAAATGAATCATTTGGAACATGAATCGCGGCTAGCTCTTACGTTATTAAATGTATACATCTCTGCTGTCTGCTAATTGGCTTAAATACTTTGCATTTTTGCGACAGTTGTTGAGTGAACAGATTCCAAGAAATGGTGATTCTCGAAAAATAAGATGCGCATATATCGGAAAAAGCAAAAGAAATCCTAAGGAAAGTTTTTTTTCGTTCTGCTCATTGCGGGCCCTTTCTTTCCCATATTTGGAGACTACTAAACATACGTTTAAAACGCATTTCATCGCGTGGCAAATAAAGGTCCTTTATTATGCGCATAGCCACGTTCGGCACGCTCGTTTTCACGCTTCGATATTTTACAAATCCTCCTAACTTGTTTTCGTTCGAAATATTCTCCGAGAATCGTACCTACCGTGGCCTTTCTCTTCGCGCACTATGCAAAAAAAATTGTCCCTAAATTTATCCGTCCGGATGACGGCGGTCGTTTAATCGCGCTAAAAGTCTCGCATCGTTATACCTAATCGATCACTTTGCTTCTCTATACAGGTGTGTAAAAAAAAAGAAAACAATAATTATTTTCAATTAAAATCAACAATTATCCAGAGCATACAAGAGCTATGTATTTACTAAACGTGACGCTGTGCCCAGTAGTCCATCGTAGAAATTGTGCATGTCCTTGATCCGGCTGAAGAAAAGAGACCGGTATCGAGCGATATATCGCTCTTGTGTATATATATATACGAACTATCCGATGTAGAAGGATTATCTTACAGGTAGATATCCTGTCGCAAAGCAAAGTCACCGGCGAACGAGATTCAAGAGAGATCTCTCTCTCTCTCTCTTTCTCTTTTATGATAAAAAATAATTAGCTCCGAAAATACGATCGCGTTCGATTCTCTGCGCGAATAATGTTATGAACACCGTGTTTGTTTTTGAAACTGGTGAGCACAGCATCAGGTTTTGTAACAATCGGAATTCGGAAGAGGGCTCGTGCGTTGTGATATAATACACGCAACATTATCTATACTTATAGAGCGTACTGATTTTTGCCGTTCAACAGGATATTCTTTCGCGAGGAACGCTTAAAACTTGTCATAGAAAATCCGAGCGTTCCGCCCGATTAATTTCGCTCTCTCTCTCTCTCTCTCTCTCTGTCTCTCCCTCTCTCTCTCTCTACATCCTAATAAATCATATTATCCTGTATTTTTTTTTTTCAACTGCTGAAATTATCAAAAAGATTATTGAGATAAGGTGCGCGACATGTTCTGTGTTTCAGGTTTCGGATAATTTTTGTGGAGCTTTTCCTCTTGTTTAAGCATATTTATTATGTCACAGTGAATCTCTCTATTCTTTTTTTAAGCATTGCTTTCGAGCTATCTAATCACAACACAGACTCATTACGACTCTGAATTTTTAATGTATCTTAAGCACTGATTGCCGTAAATCTCAATGCGATATAAAAACATTTATGATATAGGTTTGTAGGGCATCGTATTTTCTATTTGTCCGTCGAAGATTTACATTATTAGATACTGTTAGAAAATTTGTTTTCGCTCGGTAACTTAGTATAAATTCGAGTATAACAAACCTCAACATCTGAGTTGCAATATAGAACGTTTCGCGCGCGCGTGTATCTTGTTTAAACGTATCCGCAAATGTTTCTGTGTTGCAGGTGTATAAAAATATACAAATCATTCGAAAGGCCGCATGAAGAAAATGATTCTTAGCAGATCGAATGGCTTGTGAAACGTTAGACTTTTCTCAGCTCTACTCGAAAAAGTATTTTATATTTCTCTCTCATATATATATTTACAACTAATACAAGAAAAATTCAAATCTAAACTTCACAGTGAGACTCTCATTATTACTTTTCCAGAAAATACATTGTAAGAATTCTCTTGGTCGTCTAATACCTTTTTCTTTTTCTTTTCTTTTTTTTTTTTTAGCCAAGCTCTTCTGACAACAGTCGCGGTCATGCAGACGAAATACGGTGCTTATTTAAGCCGCCGCTATCTACGCATTGAAATTTGTGTACAAAAAAAGAAAAAGATATAGCAATTAAAACGTTGAAGATGACGGATTAGGAATTATACATGCAGCTTTATTTTTACGAGAGACCTCTCATAAAGCAATTAAAGTCCTAGAATGTTCTAAAGTAGCTACACAGTAAATCGATACGATCCGTCAACAAAATGATCACGCGTTTGTCCTATGTATAATATAATAAATGGCATACAGATAAATTATTATCTAAATCTTAGGTCTCCGTGGAGCATTTTTTTTTTCTTTCGTATATGTATGGAAGTATAAAAAGCCGCAATTATATAAAATATATTTCGTAAACAGATTTAAGTATTTCCACTTTTTTTTTGCTATCGTGATTACGAAAAAAGCAACATGCATAATTCTTTAAGATTTCTTTTTCTTTACAGCGTATATTATTATAGTTTCTATTAAAAGTGTCGTATTTTTTATTCTCTTCTTTTTCTTTCATAACACATCTGGGCTGTATAGAGGGATTTATTATGGTTGCATTTTAATGGTCTGCCTTCAGGTACTATACTACACTTTTACAATTGGTAGTTTCACAACGAAACGCATGATTACGCGTTGACAATAAGAAATAAATTATTGGCTTCTACCTTTGTTCGTCATCTAATTTTACAATACATCGACATAAATAATCGAAAGAGATCACACAATTTAACCAAGATTAAAAACCATTTATGGCCGAATAAAAATCAAATCTTGCGTACACAATAAAAGGCCTATAATAATGATCGATGCAAATGGCATAAGCAACCATCGGAGCAAAACGGCAAAAATCAATGACGATTGGCGTTGGAAACGTATGCATGTGAGAGTATACGCGCGTATTGTTTATTATAAAATATCTAGATTCCTCGTATGATTATATTCCATTCTTGATCGATCTTACGTGTATGCTGTTTTTTAACTTTCTTATTACTGTTTTTTTTCTTTATGTATAAATATGTATTGTTGTTAAGCCGCGCGAACTCCGTTTGTTTAAAGTCCTTGCTCAACAACAAACTGACGTTCGCAACTTGCATTCTTGTGTTTTCATTAAAGTAAATAAAATGGTCGAGTTTACATTGTCGTGTGTGTGTGTGTGTGTGTGTGTGTGTGTGTGTGTGTGTTGTATGTGGATGAGTAGATGGGTGGATGTATATGTTATCTCCTCACACTTAAAAGCTAAACCCTAAAGCTGCACTCTTATCATTCATTCTAAGTGTATTATACAAATAACTAGTCGACGCGACTGTTTGCTCGCAAGTACTTGCTAAACCGTTTACATCCGTGACATCGTGTATAAAACTCTATTGGAGTACATGCTTACATTGGTAATTCTTACTTTTCCTTCTTTTTTTCTTTTACGCAGTAATAATAGTAATTATCACTTTTTCGCTCTCTAGGCCACACAGTTTGATTGCCGAAAGTTTTCCCGCTCAGAGTTGTTTTCTCTAAAACTGCTCAGAGTGTTCGTGGAAATCGGGCAGGACCCGAGAGGCCAGCTGGGTTCATCCTCACTAGACCATTACCGTCTGTCCGTGCTCGAAGCTTTCGTCAATCATCCGTGTTAGACACGTAGTAATATCCACGCTCAATGTAGGGCCAGTCAGCTCAATAAAAGATACGAAAATACAGCAACGTAACAGAAATAGAGGTTTACCTCTCCCATGTTTTCCCTTCTCTTTTCTTTCTCTCGCGTGTTCTCTTTTCTACTCGTTGGTTTTCTCAGTCGTTATCGCCGCCGAGCTTAAAGTAAACTTCTCCGCTTCTGTGATTTCTTAATCTCAGAGAGAGATTTGGGCTTTGTGACTTGCGTTTATGTCTCGTGGATTTTTCCGTCTGGGAAATTTTTCGTCTGTATTTTTCAGAAAATTGTTCAGCCAAACCAACGTGTGTCCGAAAAATTTGTTGAATTCTCACTGTCGAAGTTAATCGCTGATCGCGAACACTGATGTGTTTTTTTCTTTTTTGGCTCTGTGCTTCGAGAAAGCAGCATCGGAGAACGACGTTTGAAAATGTTTACAAGCCATTTCCTTTTCTTCTTCTCTCGCCTCTTTCTTGATCTACGACAATAACATATCGTAGACAAACGTTCGAAGTATGCCACGATCTCTATCTGGTAATAAATCAGCTAAATCGTCTTCCTCTTCCACTGATCTTGCAATTGCCTACAATCAATCAATCAGCTGTATTGTCCACTTCTACCACCTCAGTGAATAGCGACCGGGCTCTGTTGGACGCAGACACCGACCATCGGGCTATCTTCTCTCTCCGCTGAATCTCGCTGGTTACCGGTCGACACCGTCGACGGTTGTCTGACCATCCCATGCGCGTCGGCGGTCGAGTAGCCGTAATTGTAGAAGTTCTGCTGCTGAATCATCGGCGAGGTCATCATCGCGGGCAGATGGGGTATATTAGGAAGAATTAGGCTATTGTACGATCCAAGGGAGCTCTGTATCAGGGAGCTGTCCATGGATTGCATGGACGTCGTCATCGGGGCTGACGCGGGCGCCCCGGCCGATGTCGATGGGTAGCCCGTTGTTATGGCACGCCGACCGCCCGTGTGACGAGGCGAAGACTCGCAGTCCATGGGTTGATAACCGCCACCAGGGAGACTCGACGCCTGCATTTGTTGCAGACTGCCGCCGCTGCTGCTGCTGCCGCTGCCACCCTGTCCCGACAAGGTTACCAGTCCTGGGACATCGAAAAAGAAGAAAGTCAATTTAAGAGATCGTGCAAATTCTTCAATATAAATATAAATATAAATATATATTTATATTTATACACACTAATGCCATAATCATCCACGCAAACCGCTCTAGCTCTTACAATTGAATAATCACTAATGGGAATAAAGAGAAATAAAATCTTCAAACGTCTACACGAACATGTTTGCAGGCAATAATTTCCACCGCTAACATCTTCCCTCCACACATTCCTAAGGCGAAAATGACTTTCCGATAATGTTTCCTTCTTGAAATATTTATCATATACTAAAATATTAAAATGCAAATACTCTCTAATACAATTTCTTCTTTCGTCTTGTAAATTTGTACAGTCGATAAGAATTAATCAGGTTTTACACATACTGTAATTAATTACAAATTTATTACGATCTTAACACTCCTACGATGCTTTCATTACAATTTATGTTTGCGTTTTATTTACTGTAAAATATATGCGCTTAGAGAATATGATTGATATCATTCGTATTACCCAAATAATTACATCTGATTTGTCTGTTTACATAATTATGTAATCGCGATGCAGCGCAATCTTTTCTTAATTATGTATGTAATAATTGATGTGCAATTGGGGCATACATTAACGCAAACTTAAAAAGAGGGATGTATAATAAATGCATATATATGTATAAATATATATTACTGACGAACAAGACTTATTTCACAGAAAGTTACTATTTCATGTCCCATTTACAGCACTGCACTTGATAAAGTGCACAATATAAGCAGCTAAAGCATGCATAAAAAAAACTAGAAGACAATGATGTGACTTTTCTACAAAACAGAAATTCGCAATTAACACAGAGATGCAATACTTTCAGTTGTGGTGTGTGGAATATGTTCTGCAATCGTGATAAAACATCCATCTCCGACAACATTCATGTACAACGATCATTATAGTCGCTTTCGATCATCGGTGAAAGCAAAACAATAAAAAACAAACATATTCCAGCAGTCACACGACGTTCTTTATTCTTTTATTTGTGTATTTGTCCTTATATGTTCTAAGATATTGTTATCAAAAAGGACAGCCTTATGTAATAACGAATGATCGATCTCGTATAGTGGACACTATATAAATTGTATTAAATGTGTTAATAAAATTAAAAAAGACACGGGCTACAGAGCAATGTCAATCCGTGTCTCTCAGAGGGAGTAGTATCTTTTCAAGCAAGCAAAGGCTTCGCGCAATACATCCGAGGCCAGGATATGATTATTAGGGATATCGTTAATTTTTTAGCATGTGTGTCTGTATGTGTATTGTGTCTATATGCGTGTGTGTATGTATGTATGTGTAGGAGATTGTTTGTTAGACAGAACTTACTTATGTTAGTAAGTAAGATTAGGGTTGGGGCCTAGGACAGGTCGTCGCCGCCCCGCGGATACGACAGTCATCGAGCCACGTATTGTCCCCCCATCATATCTACGGGCAACAACAAGTATCGTTTAGTTTGCGCAGAAAATAAAAGGTGTATTATTAAAAAAAGGGGAATAGAGGGAAGAATCAATCGCGAAATCGTGCGTACGTATCTTAGCAAAATTATCGTCCTTCATTTACACGTTATCGTCGAAATCGCCTAATCTACTAAGGAATTATTCGATTAACTAGTCTGCTTTTCGAAAAGAATGCTAAGAATATCTCATTTCACAAATGTATATAATAGAGATGGAAAATTTATTTTCTGCACAAATCAAAACCTTCCTAAACTCTCAATATAAATACAACTGTCCGTCCTGAGTTTCTGTTTATATCTACCTTTTGTGCTCAATTATTCAGAAATACTCAATAACAGCTCAGAGAGATCATTAGCCACAATCAAACGTTTGATTTCTGTCTTTTTATATCTTTTAAATCGTTTGCAAGAACGATGGAAATTCCTGTAAGCAACTGTCAAAAGACTTTATTGCAGCCTGAATAGAACATGTGATTGCAGTTAGATATTTTTTCTTTTTTAGATATCTGCCTCTTTTTATATTATTACATTTTATATAAAATTTTCTACCAATAATGGGCAGTGAAAATTGTACATTTTCTTTCTATATCGGCGTTCGCGTTTGCTGAGAAGGCCGATTCAGAAAAAACTGCAGATTAAATGTATCATCAGGCAATCAAGAATGATATTAATAATGAATGATGAATGAAATCAAGCGACATAGAGCCACACTTTGATAATAAGATCATGTTTCTCGCTGCAATATTAATCATTTAACGTACAGTTATTGTGACATAATGCAAATCTGACATATTTTCAACTTTAACGCATTTAGTGAAGATAGTTGATGCTGTTCAAGTCGAAATATCATACGCGGAATATATGGAGAGTATGAGAAATGCGTGTAACAACGTTGAAAACTTGCCAGAGTTTCGAAGAAACTCAGATGTGAAGCACACAAATGCGTAATTGGATTACTTCTCTCCTTCATGTTACACAATGATTCGGCGAAATCGAACGATGCCGCGCGACAGTCAACGACTTACCATGATCCTGGCTCATCGACACCACTGCCGGACTCGTGCTCGCGCTATTGGCAGCAGCGACATTCGTGTTGGTCCCCTCATCGGCCGTTCTCTTGAAGAAGTTGTGTTGGAGTGCGTAATACGGCGTTACCCTCGTCTTCGGATCAAAGTCCAACATCCGTACGATTAGGTCTTTGAACTTGAGATAATCGGACATCGAGTGACCGGGCTCCCCTATCCTCCTGCCCCCGGGGCCGCCGCTTTCAACACCTAGAATATCATGTAAGCGCCTCGTGCCGGGAGGTTTGTATTTTTTACCGTCCTTGGACTTTTTCAGCACGTACGAGCCATCCGTGGGGACTTTGTCAAAGTACTTCCGCGCCTTGTGCGCTTAGTCCAATATATGTTTCGGCTGCATTCCTAGTACTTCTACGATTTTGTTCATTTGATCGACCTGCAAATTATACAAAAAATCTCTTTATACCGTTAAACAGAAATTTATCTTGTTTATAGCAATATGTGTGCATTTTTAAAACGAGTCATTTGCCATTATTGCGCGAATATGTCCTTAACATGGTTATAAATTCCAGTAGCATCTCGCGCTATTAATGAGAATTATCGAGAGCTATGGACTTGACGCGATTAAAAAGAACATGCACAACGATCGGGTTATTTCATTACCTCATTGGCCCCACTAAATAAAGGTTCTCCCGTGTGCATTTCTACTAAAATACATCCCAGACTCCACATGTCTATCGCGAGGTCATAAGGTATTCCTAATAGAACTTCCGGTGATCTGTAGAACCTGGACTGAATATATTGGTATATCTGCAAAGACAAAAAAAGGAAGTAGCAAGTGAGACATGGATCGAAAAGCGGCTTGGAGAGCACACGCGGGATAATTAACATCTTATGAGATACCCACTCTTTGTCCAAGTTGACACGAACTACCAAAGTCGACTATCTTTATCGCACTTCGTTTGGGATTGCATAAAAGGATGTTTTCGGGTTTCAGATCACAGTGAATGATGTTCAATTCCGGTGTAGACAGGAACAAGAGGGCAGTACACAGTTGCTGTGCAAACTTTCTTGTCAGATTTAATGACACTCCTCGGAAATTCGTATTTCTAAGTAGGTCATACAGATTATACGACAGCAGTTCGAATACTAGACATAAGTGATTCCGCCACATAAAATGCCTCTTCAGTTTAACTGTAATTAAAAGAAGAAGAATATATTAGTATCACCTCTCTTACGTATGTAAAATACAATGCACATATTTTTGTGTATGTACCTATATAATACTTGTTGTCGGTATCTGCTCTGTTCATCATTTCTAATAACCTAACTTCGATTTGCGCTTGATTTAGAAAAGGTTTCTTGTTCTTGATGATTTTTATTGCCACTTGCGTCTGCTCTTCGTGGTCAAACGCTTTCACTACTTGGCCAAAACTGCCTTTACCTGCAAACAAAAAGCATGTAAGAGAAAATTCTATGTAGAATAAATAATTAAAATATCTTTACCGACTAATATATGCAATCGTTAAAAACGAAGAGGATTATTAGATATTATTAGATATATATTTAAATTTGTTATATTTAAAAAATATACGAAATAATATCTACGAGAAGTAAAAAATTATCGATTTACATCATTGGATAATTTCTCGTGATATCGTCAATTTATACGGTACAACAATTATTCCTCTCCATTATCCCTACTCTTTTCATTTTTTTCGTCTTACCTATTAATGAATCGATCTCGTATCGATCGAGGAACTTTTCCCCATTCTTGATAATATAATCGTGATTATCGTCGTCCCAGCCATCGTTGTAGAGTTTCCTCTCCTTTTTATGCGAGCCATCTTCTCCTTGCATCTGCTGTGCTCTCCTCTTCTTCTTCGCATAGTAAACCTGGAAAAGAAATCGATATAAGAAATTGTTGCGATATTTCTGATATGTAAAAGTCAAGATTTGTTAAAATTCTATGCAAAGACATCCGATATGGAAACAAAAATATCCAATTATTGTAATAAACTAAATAATTTTATAAATATAACAGTCTATATTTTGTACATATCGTCATTATTAAATCATATTATTATGTAATATTTATCTATTTATTTTTCCTAATTTTTTATCAACCCGATTTTCTTCATATCATTTATTATTAAAATTCTAATATTCGTTCTAATATTTATCAGACAACTGTTTTATGCGTCATTGGATCATGAAATTGGATCGTAACTCTTATCAAGTCGCAATTCGCGTAATTAGCATGTTTATTGATATGATGTTTATAATGAAAATTCGAACAATTGATCGATTGGTCCGAAAATTCATTTATGTTAATCAATCAATCAGGCCTAATGGAATTATACATAACGAAGTACACATCCTCCAAGTTATATTCGCACGGGCAGAATTTAGGTCCATGACGTTCCGCGGGAACGAGGAGAGAACGCGCGTCCGATCGATCGCTTATATTTTTCACGACGTATATAAATCCGCGGTTATGCTGCCTTAAATTCGCCTGTAAAGCACGCCTTAGTCAAAATGCCGTCATGATTATCCGCCTCTCTCTCTCCCTCTTTCTCTCTCTTTCTTTCTCTCTGTATGTGTCTCTCGCTTTCCTCCTAAAAAGCGTTATATTCGCCGTAAATATCCCTCGTCTACGAGGAGGAAGGTGGAAGGATGGCGCGCGACGAGAGGGTGGAGGGCGCAAAAGCG